AACTGATCCCACAAACCGTCATAACCGAATCCTACACTGGATTTTCTGGTTTATTTTCAGGCTGGAAACAGCATTTTGGTTGAAAACACAGTTTCCTCTGTATTAGCCTCCAAACTATATTTTTAGAAGCTGAAGCTGAGTTTTTTTGTTGTTGTTGTTGTTGTTTTGTTTTGTTCTTTAAATAGAGACAGGGTCTCGCCGTGTTGCTCCTGGTTCAAACAATTCTCCCTCCACAGCCTCCCAAAGTACTAGGATTACAGGCGTGAGCCACCAAATCAAACCTGCACCTGAGTTCTTGAACCCACAAAGCTGAGGAAATATCAAACTTAAAATCTCACTACACTACCTTTCTTAAATCCTAATTTTATGCCTAGGAGTTTTGTTTTGTTTTGTTTTGTTTTGTTTTGTTTCTTGAGACAGAGTATCACTCTGCCGCCAGGCTGGAATATAGTGGCACAATCTTATCTCACTGTAACCTCTGCCTCCTGGGTTCAAGCGATTCTCCTGCCTCAGCCTCCTGAGTAGCTGGAACTACAGATAGGTGCCACCACTCCCAGCTAAGTTTTTACTTTTTAGTAGAGACAGGATTTCACCATGTTGGCCAGGATGGTCTTGATCTCTTGGCCTTGTGATCCACCCACCTTGGCCTCCCAAAGTGCTGGGATTACTGATGTGAGCCACCGTGCCCAGCTGAGGTCATATTTTAATAACAAAATAATATAGCTCAATAAGTCCTATCCATGTTGCTCTAAAAGATGTAAGAATTTAAACTGAAAGTTATCACTGTAGGTAAGTTTGGATTATTGAGACTTAAAAAAAAAAAAAATCTCACTACTCTACACTACAACCTACACTGATGGTCTTTAAAGAGGGCTATAAACAACATTTAGGGTACATGAAAACTCTAAAGGAAAGAAACTGTTTGTTCATCTTCAACATCGCTGTAAAATAATATGCCTGAGAATGTCCCTTCTCTTTCCTGACACTCACTTCCTAAAGTGAGCATACCTTTCAGCCACCACCCTCCCCTCATCTCACTAGGCACATGGCCCACGGTTATAAAACCTCCAGGGCAACTAGGAGGTGAGCCACTGAAAGCAAGCTGGTCTTGATGCAGGGAAATGGATAAGAAACATTTCTGTAAGTCTAAAAAGGAACAAAATGCTTTTGCAAGTTGGATTGCTTCCAACAAAATTACAGGAGGGCCCATTGTTTAAGCCATCAGCTAACAAATTATTAAAAATAATTTCTGATGAGAAAAAAATTTTTTTCTGATAAAAAATTATTTTTATTCTAAAAATAATTTCTAATTTCTAATCAGAAATTCACTCTGTGAATTTTGCCATATAACCTCATGAAAACTCCAAACAATTGAATGACACTACTATAATCCTCCCTTTTTCATTTTTGACAAGTTTTTCAGTGCCTGCATCTTACACAGAAAAACAGAAAATAGAAGTGACGCCAAATCTTTTTGCATCTAGTAATAAATGAATATGTAAAGGAAAAAGCACCCATATGTATGTAATAGATCAACGTATAAAAAGGTATATTTTTACCTTTTATCAATCATTTATCAGAATTTCTAATATAATCATGTTATTTTGATCACCTCCATTCCACTAATGGAAATGTTTAGACAACTGCTTCCGGATTAAATAATCCTTGAGGCACAGGATATTTTTAATTTTCGGTATTGATATCTTTTTATTACATAAGTATGACATAAGACTCTAAAACATGACCATGTATTATATTGGAATAAACATTGGGGGAGAAGGTTGGAATTACACGTATGGTGGCTCATACGTGTAATCCCAGCAGTTTCAGAGGCTGAAGCAGGAGGATCACCTGAGGTCACGAGTTCCAGACCAGCCTGGCCAAAATGGTGAAACCCCATCTCTACTAAAAACACAAAAATTAGCCAGGTGTGGTGACAGGCACCTGTAATCCCAGCTACGCAAGAAGCTGAGGCAAGAGAATCACTTGAAACAGCAAGGCGGAGGTTGCAGTGAGCTGAGATTGCGCCACTCCAGCCTGGGCAAAAAAGCGAAACACCACCTCAAAAAGAAAAAATAATGAGGGGAGAAGTAAGATTACAAAAGAGTTCAAGTAAACAGGGAGAAGTAGGTTTCCAATTAAAGAGCTTGTTCACTGTTTTTTTAAATGAACAGTGGCCGGTATGACAATACAGATTTTTTTCATCAGCTCTCTTTAAGTGTACCATGTAAAAGGTCTATTTTTAAATGCCAATTTTTACAGTATGCCCCAAATTATGCATTTTGAAATAATCTAGCTTATGACAACAATGTATGTAATCAGCAGAAGATCTGAAGACCATAGACCTATACCAGTAGTAGTCAGTCGGCATCCAAAAACTACAATTCAGAAGAAGAATGCAACCTACTTTGCCAGCCTTTAACTAACAATAGCTCCTCGGTTTGCACCTGAAGCTGGAGTCTCAGGAACATCAGTTCCCCTACAAGCTTTACATTTTCCCACCTCCTGGCCCCTGTTCATACCACCAAGAAACCAGAGCCAGTCCTCCTCAAATTCCACCATTCTTCCTTAAGCACTGGCTTTTGGTCAGGTGCTGTGAACTGCTAATTTGGTAAGAGGGTAGAATAACATAGTGGGGTAGTGGGGTTGAGAGCATGGAACCTGGTAGCAGGTTACCTGGTTTCAAAATCTGCCTCTGCAATTTACTAGCTTAAGCCAATTAATCTCTCTGTGATCCACTTTCCTCATCTTTAAAATGGTAATTATAATCAACATTTACCTGATGGGGTTTTGTAAAAACTGAATGAGTCAATGTAGTTAAAATCCTTAAAGCCCTGCTTGACAGTATTTTTTGCCACGTCATCATTATTACCCCCACCAAAATTACTACTACAGCGACGATCCCACACCATGGTCCAGGTTTTAACTGTGTAGACACAAGCCCACATCTTTCTAACAGCTATTTCCTCACCTATTTCAGGCTACTGCTTAGTTGGAAGGAACAAACAAGAACATCTATGTACCCCATTAGTCCCTTCCTGGAGAAAAACACTAGTGAAAACACAATGGGCTCTATAAAAACTCTATGTAAATCAACTAGCACTAAGGAAGAGAAACACTAGCAAAGGTATGTCAATTAGTGAGTAATTCTGCCATTTCAAAAACAAAAAAATCTAGTGGCAAAAAATACTGGGAGAGAGCAAATCCTGGGAAGAAACTGCTGGAAGAAGGTCATACTTTCTATTTCCAGGGCTTCTTTCATTCTTTATCTCGAATAAAGAGACAATATATGGAAAACAATTGGAGAGGTTATCAATAATCTATATTGATAACCAAAGAAAACCAAAATATAACTGGATAAACAATTGATACAGACATCACTGCCTATTCCTCTCCTCTCCAGTCGTTCAGGCTTACAGTTGGTTGTAGTTCACTTTTTACAGTTGGCTGAAAAAAGAAAAAGGGGCTGCAGGAAGGAAGCCAAGGACAGTACTAAACAGCAGCTGTGGAGAACAAGGGCGGGCAGGTATGCGAATACAGAACCACTGATTTCAGTGACTGCTGCAACAACCCCTAGTCATCCCCAAAATCACATCTTTAGGAAAGAATGTTTCTTTTTAACAAACGATTTGAAGACCATCGAGGCCCTAATAAATGTAACCCCATATTAGGTCTTCGGGAAGCAACTTATTTTTTTTTGTAGAGATAGGGTTTCACCATGTTGGCCAGGCTGGCCTTGAACGCCTAACTTCAAGTGATCTCAGCCTCCCAAAGTGCTGGGATTACAGGCGTGAGCCACTGCACCCAAGCAGCAAGCATCTTTCTAACCCTAACTGTGATGTAACTTTTTCTTTTTTTTTTTTTTTTTTTTTTTTTTCGCATTTATTTATTTTATTGCATTTTAGGTTTGGGGATACATGTGAAGAACATGCAAAATTGTTGCATAGGTACACACGTGGCAGTGTGATTTGCTGCCTTCCTCCCCATCACCTACATCTGGCATTTCTCCCCTTGCTATCTCTCCCCAGCTCCCCACCCCCCACCATCCCTCCCCTATTTCCCCCCAACTGACCCCAGTGTGTAGTGCCCCCCCCCGTGTCCATGTGTTCTCATTGTTCAACACCCGCCCATGAGTGAGAACATGCGGTGTTTGATCTTCTGCTCTTCTGTCGGTTTGCTGAGAGTGATGGTTTCCAGGTTCATCCATGTACCCTACAAAGGACCCAAACTCATCGTTTTTGATGGCTGCATAATATTCCATGGTGTATACGTGCCACGTTTTCCCTATCCAGTCTATCGTCGATGGGCATTTGGGTTGGTTCCAGGTCTTTGCTATTGTAAACAGTGCTGCAATCAACATTCGTGTGCACATGTCCTTACAGTAGAACGATTTGTGATCCTTTGGATATATACCCAGTAATGGGATTGCTGGGTCAAATGGAATTTCTATTTCTAGGTCCTTGAGGAATCGCCACACTGTCTTCCACAATGGTTGAACTAATTTACACTCCCACCAACAGTGCAAAAGTGTTCCTATTTCTCCACATCCTCTCCAGCATCTGTTGTCTCCAGATTTTTTAATGATCGCCATTCTAACTGGCGTGAGATAGTATCTCAATGTTGTTTTGATTTGCATTTCTCTGATGACCAGTGATGATGAGCATTTTTTCATATGTTTGTTGGGATGTAACTTTTTCATTGCGATAAACCTAAATCTCATCATGCCGAAATACAAGCCAGCATCACACCCTCAGCTGCCAAGTTGAAGAATGGGCTCTTACCAATTCAAAAGCACCCAAAAAGCATTCAACTCAGCTAAGATATTTGTGTGAAATACAGATTCCTGAACCTCCAGAGAGTCTGACTCAGACAGGGGTAGCAATCAGGAATCTGCATTTTTAAACAAACTCCCAGGGAATTCTTAAGTACACTATGGTTTTACAACCACTGCCTGAAGGACACCCCTGGAATATCACTTAGCAAGTACAATTCATACTCACTTTGCCCACTATGAGAAATTTGTTGGCATCACTTTCATCAGCAAGCTCTGTTTCCACAAGGCTGGGACTATGACTGCAAACTGCTTTGGATTTGAAACTTGCCAGCATTGCAAACAGAAAGGAAAGGGAGAGCATCTTTCTAACAGCTTCCTCACAATCCTGCTGAAGGGTCTGAATTGCCCTGACGGCTGCTTGTCTTTTTCACTAAAAGGCTGAATGATGAGGGGAGATGGTAGCACGATGGTTGTTTTATTCTGCTCCAAGTCCACCTTTATGGCCCAGGAACCCTGTAGCAGGAAAAGGGGACTTCATGGGATATGGTCTCTGGGGAATCATTCACTGAGCAGTTTTGCAATTTTTTTACTAAAAATAATTGTATGTAAAAATAAAGTTATTATTCTGTACTTTATAATAGCATTCCATTTTAAAATACTGATATAAGTGTTTTGGAATATTTGTGTTCCTAAAGAAAGAGACCAAAGGATACTCCTTTGCAAAACATACCTCTGAGTGCTTTTAAAAGACGGGACACTTTCAACTTCTGCTATTAAAAGGAAACATAAAATAAACAAAGCTCTTGTTAACTGGTTAAAGTAACTGGTGTTCAAGTTGCCATTCCAGTTTCCAAGCTGTTTTTATGAAAAGAGAAGGGTGGGGGTGTTTTACATCAGTGCAAAGGGTAAGAATAGCACTCTGGTAAAATGAAACTTCTCTTTAACTTATCTGATAAGTTGCTGAGTTTATTATATGGGGATATTTGTTTCAAAGCCAATAACTTCTGCAGGATTAGGCAGAGGCATGGTGATCAGTTTTACTGTGGCAGAGCCTTTGGCCAAATCACTCACCCCTTTGAAATGCATGACATTACATCCTCCAATTTGAGTGCCTCTTCCACCTGAGTCCTGTAGGATAAAGAACTTTGTGCTGTCAAATGTTGTGTACCTGTTATTACCACCGCCTGAGAAAGCATAAAATACATATTTATGGAATAGTCACTCCTGAACATTCAGTATGCACAACAAAGTTTTGGTAAAAAGAAAGACTGACTTTCTGACAAACAAAAAGGTTTTCTAGCAGCAAGATTACTAACACAGAAGCAAGTGACTGTTCTTAACCCTATTTAACATTAACCAGAGTAATCATTTTACTTTGGGCAACGCCAGGTAAATTCTCTGTGTCATTGGTTCCTTCAGACATAAAATGAGGGAAACTTGGATAACATGATTTCTAAAAGCTCACACTATAATCCTGTACTTCTTAAGCAGTCTCAGGTCTTGTTCTCTATACCAACAAAAATGAAACATATTGTGAAGTTTACATAGAAATTCATTACTGTCTGCTTATTTCTACTGATGGTTCTGGAATTCTAAGCCTGGGAAATAGCAAAATAATAGCTGTCATGCACAAGCTGAAGGGAAGAAAAAAAAAATAAGAAATAACATCTGGATACCCAGACACCAGATCGCATCAATACATGCAAACAGAAGGTATGTAGTCATTTATAAAAGACGAGGGCAAAAGGCTACAACTGCTATTTCAAAAGGTGTTCTATATGAAAATTAGCAAAAGAAAAAATCTTATACCTATACATACTAAATAAGCCTGATTTATACCAACTATATTACCATTCATTCAACAAACATTTACTGACCACCTATTATGAGCCATGAGTTGGGGGAAAGAGTGAAAAACAAGACAAACAGTTCCTGCTCTTTGGAGCTAAACAGCAGGGGAGTTAGGTAAACCAAAATTGAAGAATTTTTTACAAATGTGATGTTGTTGCACAAAAGAAGCGGATACAGGGTGTGCCCAGAAAACCTAATAGTAGAAGCAGCTGGGTGTGAAGGTCCTCAGGGAGTAACATTTTATCTAAGATTTTAAGGACTGTGGGTTGAGAGCACTGTGTGCTAACAGGAGACAGCATTCTAAGCAAAGAAGACAGTCCTACACTCTTATTTTAAGAATTTATTATTCTGTTTTTATTATTTTTCTTTCATTGATACATAATATTTTATATATTTATGGGGTACATGTGAGTATTTTTTACATAAATAGAATGTGTAACTATCAAGTCAGGGTATTTGGGGTGTCATCACCTTGCAGGCTTATCATTTCTATGTGTTGGTATCATTTCAGCTACTTCAAAATATTGGAAATATTAGACCCTATCAAATGTTATATCCATAAATTGAGACAGTTTAGATAATTTGGGTATACCATTAAATGGCATAATTGAAAAGCAAAGGGACCAGGGAACATGCATCTACTTTACTGTGCGTGTGTGTGTGTGTGTGTGTGTGTGTGTGTGTGTGTGTGTGTGTGTGCGCGCGCGCGCCACCTCCTGTACTTTTCTCCAGGTTACACACGCATGCATGCGCACACGCATACACACACACACACACACACACACACACACACACACACACACACAAAGGTAGCATGAGCACATGCATTTTATTTCTCTAGCTAACATGTATCTACTTTAGATCAATGGAGCACTGAACTAAAAATTACATACATTGTGACCAGCAGGACAGAGCACTCTATATACAGACAAAAAATGAGGGAAATCACTGGCACACTTACATTTTTTCTTGTTTTAAAAATAGCAATCAAGATATTCAAACTCTTAATTCTGAATACTATCCCCAAAATAATCCCAAAATAAATTCAGGTAATTAAAACTTCTCTGATTAAGAAAAAAACTCCAGTCTTTTCCAGAGACCACCTGGGCAGCCTCAGAACTATTATCCTCCTATGCTAATGATTGCTGGTTTTAATCATCATCTTTATAGCAAAAGACAATCATTGCATTCCAGTTGACAATTTGTGTTCCAAGTTTCCTTTCCAAAGTTGTCTTTAAAGTCCAAGGCAAATAAAAACCACCATACATAGTTGCTTACAGAACTGACAAGAAATCCTTAACTCCAACAGACCTGGTTGGCATCAACGATTCATGCACATTACAAAAATCTCCACACAACTCAAAGTTTTTTAAGTACAGAGCTGAAGTTTACATCCACAAATCTGTTTGATCTCTGCAGTTGCAAAACCATATGGCACACAGAGAAAAACAAATTATCTCTGCTTATGAAATAAGAACCTTCTGTAGGCTTTGGGACAGACCGACAGCTATGATTGTCCTGCTTGCTGTGTATCACTATAATTAACTTTCTCTTATCCTTTTGAAGAATGTAGTTTTTGGTTTTTGGTTTGTTTGGGTTTGAGCGTGGGGGGCAGACATTAGGGAACAGGAGTAAAGAGTATCACCAAGGGGTAAAGAGTATCACCAAGAGTATTACCAAGGGAGTATCACTTAGGATTATCCCTAAGTGATAATCCTAAGTATAACCTCAGACACAATGATTTAAATATTCTCTTTCTATAAATATTTTAGGTCATATTTTCATGCTTTATTTAATCACATTTATTGCTGAGGAAATATATAAAGCCATGTATGTCATCATTTACAGTGTAGTGCAGTCATACTTGTGAAAAGGCTATGTCCTTATACTAAGTGACTCAGTAGCTTCCATAATAAAACTAGTTTCATAATCACTGTAAGTTTCCAGCCATTGGCTGCATAGAACCAAAAGCAAAAATACAGCATGACAGTAATTTAAAATGTGGGTGAATTCTGCTATCACTGTTTCTACTCCTGCCACTACCTCAACCACCACCATCATTCATGCAATCCTCACCAAAACAAAAAAAGTTTAGAAATAATTTATACTTCTAAAACCAAAAGGTAAAGCTTTATACCTCAAAAGTAACATGTAAAAAAATTTTAAATTTGATCTATGACACTAAAAGATTTTTTAAAACTACTTCATAAACATAAACAACCCACCAATGGACCCTTAGCACTAGCAAAGACAATTTCAGAGACAGTTTGGTTAAACAAACTCAGAAGTGTAATAAAAGAAACTGCAAATGCAAAAAAAACAGTGACAAAAAGAAAATGAGTAAATATGTTTAATGGCAGAAGAATCATTTCCCAGATACCTGTGCAACTAAAGTTTTTTTAGGGATGAGCAGGCAGAAAGAATTTATCATTTTGATTTCCTAAGAGAAGTCACTATTTTTAAGAATAAGAGACTCAGTAGTCCTGCCTATCTTTCTGCCTGTTAAGACCAGAAAATATGAAAGTGTTTCCTTAATACTTTGTGCAGTACAACAAGTGATGCAGTAGGTTCTCCTCTGAAGGACTGGCGTCAAATGTTAACTAATAAGAGTTGTGAAATCTCAAAAACACTAGGTCCCAGAGTATTCTTTGCATTTTTGTCTTTATTTTACTTATACTGTACCCAATGAAACACCTTCTAGCAACACCTCCCACACCCACCCCCATTCCCATTCAATCACAGCTCAGAGCCCTGCTGGCTTGCTAGCTTAGATCTCATGAACCTGGAGCTAAGAACTAAGAAGCACAGTAACCTATGAGATCTCTCAGACAGGCTGGAAGAAGTTTTCAAGAAGCAAACTGGGTAGATTTCAAAGGAAAAACTTTATCCCTGCAGCTATGATCAACTCCAAAAATAAATACCTATAAAACATATGGTCACGCCTGTAATCCCAGCACTTTGGGAGGCCAAGGCAGGCGGATCAAGAGGTCAAGAGATCGAGACCATCCTGACCAACATGGTGAAACCCCGTCTCTACTAAAAATACAAAAAAATTAGCTGGGTGTGGTGGTGCGCACCTGTAGTCCCAGATACTCAGGAGGCTGAGGCAGGAGAATTGCTTGAACCCAGGAGGCAGAGGTTGCAGTGAGCAGAGGTCACGCCACTGCACTCCAGCCTGGTGCCTGGTGACAGAGTAAGACTCTGACTCAAAACAAACAAACCAAAAAAAAACATATGGATTACAAGTACAGTCCTGGGAAAATCAGTAACATGTCATGGAGGAACAGCATTAATGGGTTTACCTGGAACCTGATCTGCTAATTTCTAAATCATCCTTTTTTTTTTTTTAAGATTATTTGCTATAACAGATGAACTAAGAATACCTTTTATTCACTATCTAATCTTACTGTCCTAAAGCCAGGTCCCTACAGGTAGGGAGGAGTGTCATGTATTTGGCAAATAATAGTTGAAACGGCCTTTTCCTTTTCTTTTTGTTGACAGTCTATTCAGACAAGCCAGGCTAAATACATTTCCGGATTCCCTTATGTGCACAAGGAGAGAAACAACTCAATAAAGGTCCACAGAGACATCTGGAACAAGCAGCATCTCTACCTGCTAAGCGTTAACTCCTGATTTTCTGCCTTCCTGGATGGTGCTTTTAATTTTTCCTACAATCCTAAAGCCTCTCAGCTGGGTGAGACAGCGCATTGTTTTTTTCCCTTTATCCTTCAGTGAAGGCCTTGTCTACACCTCTTGGCCACAGACAGAGAGAACAAAGGGTAGTCAGACCTACAGATTTCTGTACTTGACCTTCTTTATATGGGAAAGATGTTGGTGTCCAATGCTGCTGTAATAAGAAAAAGGAAAGTGAGCTGCAAGAATGACAAACTAAACCTGTAAAAGAAGAAAAAGAATCAGCCACAAGTTTTCATTACCCAACTTAGGATATAACAAAAGATGACTTTTTAAAATAAATAAGCAAGTGAATCTAGTCAGGACAGAAATTCATTTGGCAAGTAAAATCCATCTCCAGCACAGCAATTTTATAGCAGCATGCTGGAGTTTTCGTGTTTTGAAAAATGAGACACTGACTGATATACTTAGCCAAATATTCTGATCTGTCATCATTCTAAATATATGGGCCTATCTTTCAGCAAACAAATTAGCAGGTAATATATCATCCTTGAGTGCATACCCTTCCCTGGATGCTCTATAAATACAGAGTGATCAAGACTGGCAGTTACTGCGTGTAAAATGTAAAACACTACTAATTTCACTAAAGCCACACTGCAAAAGTCCATCATATCAATCAGAAGCAGGGTGTCAGAAAAGTTTTATGCACTTGAAATTCTTCCAGGGGAGGAAACACGATGAGACAGAAAAGAGATGGCTCTAACACTCCCTTTATTTGATCATAGAGAAAAGAGGAATGAATCTCTGGCAACAAATAACTCCTGTTTTGTTTTTTAAGTGTGTCTAGGATCAGACGAGCAAGCCTCGAATTTGGCAAAATTGCAAACTAAAAGAAAAAGACAGCTTTTCCTTTCTCTAGCCTCACCTACTAAAAGTAATTCAAAGCACATAAGCTTCCCAACACAGTAAAAGCTGCAAAGCTAGATATAGTCTCGGGTCCTCAGAAATGACTCATGCAGTTCCTAACATTCTGATTTAAAAAACAACCAACTATTTTCTGAGGGCAAAAAGGGAATAAAGTTCTTAAATCATTTAATTCTGCCAATTAGTTCCGCAACTATGGCATTAAAGAACTATGGATATTTATCCACTGGAAGTGGATCAAAAAGTGGGCTCTCTTAATGCCTATTAAATAGTGCTGATTTTCAAGCATCACTGACCAAGGTCAAATCTGAACCAATGTGAAAACCTTCACTTCCCCATCACTAATCCCTTGAGCCATCCATTCTTCCAAAAGGCAAATGTTTTGTAGTCATGGGAGAAATACCACACAGTATGGGTAGCACTTAATATGACTGCTTTCTACATTAAACTCAGCTTATATGTCTTCCATTTATTTGTGAAAAGTTAGAGAATTCAAACACACTGGAAACTTTCAAATATGATATCACTATAGTATTGGCATATACAGAAAAGGAATTAACTGCTTTATCCCACATCTATTAGGTAAAATCTCTGGTTTATTGCCTGATTATGTTTTTTTTTTTCTTGGTATTTAGTTTCCTCCCACCAACTGGAGGAATAAAAGGATGCTCCATTGAGTATTTGTTTACAATCGACAAGATTATCTTCTGTAAATGTGTTACTGATCAAATTGTACAATGTACAAAGCTTCAGTTCGGCTAGGTTATCAGCTACACTTAGAAAAGTCTGGGCTATGAAGAGATGGGAGGGATGAGAAAAACACAGTGAGCTGTAATGCAACTGTGCTCTCGGTGGGCCGCACACACTAAGAATAACTTATCAACTCACTGCCCAGAAAGGAAAACTTCCAGAGTAGCCCTGTGGACCCAAGGACCTAAATGTTCACTTTCTTTTCAGGGCCACTGCTATAAGTACCGTCCCTACCCTCATAATCTAATACGCACTGCTAGGTGATTCAACTTAATATTCCTATCGAAACAAAGTTAGTCACAGTCCAAGTCTACAGTTTATCTATATCACAAGATTTTCTAATTGTGCCCAGGTTCACTGAAAACCTAACCACCAATTACGGCACCTTTTCAAAAATATTAAATACATTGAAACAAATTTATTCCAAATCCCCAAAGAAAAATGATGGCATTTTACCTCTCCACCCCCAAAGAAAGAAAAGCTGTGATGCCCAGAGATCTAGACTAGATAAACTAGTCACTACCAAAACCCTGAATATAAAAAGCTACTCTGTCCGTCTTGGGCACATTCTAGTCTCTCTTCACAAAAAGTCCTCTCTCTATACCCCTACTTCCTCCTTCCTGCTACTCAAGAGAAAAAAAAGTCTTTCAAAAAGTGTCCTTTGGTTCCACAGGATTAGTCACTTTCTCACTGTATTTTTAAACACTTTTTGGGCTGGACCCAGTGGCTCGCACCTGTAATCTCAGCACTTTGGGAGGCCAAGGCAGGTGGATCACTTCAGGAATTCGAAACCAGCCTAGCCAACATGGTGAAACCCCGTAAATTCTACAGAGTGAGACTCCGTCTCAAAAAAAGAAGAGGGGATGTGAAGAACCCTTCTGCCCCCTAACAAAATAAATAAATAAACACATTTTGTAACTATCACAATGCATCTTCTCTTTATTTCAATTGCACGAACAATAGACACTTAGGACAAGTTCAAATAGAACCTAGGCATATTCAGTTAAAACGGAGTCCTCTCTTCTCCCTCCAATCCCTGTTAACCATTTGTGATGCATCCTTCCAACCCGATTTCTATACTGAAACATGTATACATACTTATCAGTTTACAGATCTAGCATACCTAACAGACTATGTACTCTATAAGAGCAAGAAATGCCCTATTCACCTATGCATCCAGTATCTGGCACACTGCTGATACAAATAGTTGCTCAATAAATGTTTACTAAATCAATAATCAAAGGGTTAAAGCCACAGAGGAGCAGGTCTTCTGGGGACTCCAGAAACAAGGGGAAACAGATGTCTCTGTCCTTACATGTGCTCGTGTAATGAGATTAGGAAGAAG